GATCTGGTGTGGATCTATTTATCGGCTTTTCATCCTAGCACTACAAACGATGAAATTTCATCTCTCGTCACCGATTGCTTGTGTATGGAGTCCAACGAAAAACCTCGGGTGACCAAATTGGTTCCCAGAGGGAAAGATCCATCTACCTTGAACTCCGTCTCCTTCAAAGTTGGCGTCTGTGCAAACAAACGAGATGTCGCTTTTTCCTGTGAGTCGTGGCCGGAAGGTATACAGTTCCGCGAGTTTGATGATTCCCGGTCAAAGGTGACGAAAATCACTCGGATTGGCCCGGCACAGTAACAGGCCCATTCCCATTCGAGAACTGGTACTCGACCGGGTGGATCCGGGACGCAACAACACAGTGTCTTGGAAGCCTCTGATCCCTCCGAACCAGTCGTGCTGCTTGAAGATCCATTCATCCGAAGTCGTCCCGGCCCTGGTTTCGGAATCGGTGAAGAGGTCTTCCAGCCTGTACTAACAGGCAAGTACCGCTTTGTATCAAAATTTTCTCTTCCTGAGCCGGCCTCCATTTCCAGTAACAATTACTTAACGCGTTGCGTGGACGTAACAAGTTCAACGCCTTCTAGACTCCTGACGTACCATGCTAGCCAACCAGGACGCATTGTAGAAAGTTTATTGGAAGCCCCCAGTTCCTCTAACACAGTCGTGTACGTCCCTGCCTGCGTTCATCACAGTCGTCCTGGACCTGAGTTTAGATGTGGGCTGGGGGTCTTCCAACCTCCTATGACAGGCAAGTACACACTCAACCATTCAAATTCGATACCTGATGCCGATCGAACTTTCAGCACTTTGAATGCCGCTGTGCCAACTCCATCTCGAAACTCGGAACGCATCGTAGAAAGCCTCATGGAAGTCCCCAATCCCTCCGCCTCAGTCCTGCCACTTGCTGTCTCCGCGAATCATCGTCGTTCCGGGCCTGTGGTCGGATGTGGAGAGGGGATCTTCCACCCAACTTATTTTGGCGAGTATTCTTCCGATCTTGACATTGGTCAGCTACTTCCTGTCGTTCCTGTGATTTCCAGGAAGAACCAAAGCCCGCTGACATGCCGTTTGCAGAACACCGAGACCCTCAATCACAACGACCAATTCTCCGTTTCAAGCCGAACATCAGCCGCCATTTCATCTAGCCTGGGACGCACGTCACAAAGCAGTATGGAAGCCCTGGACCCACCTAGCTCAGCTGCGCCCACTACTGGTTCCAGTCCTGGTCAGTTCACACGCCCCCACCATCTAAGTCGTCCCGGCCCTGAGTCTAGTGCTGGGGACAGGGCTTTCCAAGCTGCCATCCACGGCAAGTACCCTTATTCTTTCGACGTTGCTCTGCCTGATGCTGCCTCCACTTCCAGATTGCAGCCCGCTGTTCCATGCGTCCCAGCATCACAAATTCTGCTATACTACCAGAACGTCGGTGGCATGAACAGCTCACTCGCCGAATACCAGCTAGCATGCAGCGACGCATGCTACGACATATACGCCTTCTCGGAAACCTGGATGAATAACAACACTTTGTCAAAGCAGTTGTTTAACGATACATATTCCGTCTACCGTCAAGATCGATCAACCCTCAACAGCAACAAGACCTCCGGTGGTGGAGTCCTTCTGGCCATTCGCTCCTGCTTCGTATCTCGCTTACTGAAACCTCCTGAAGATTCGACGGTTGAGCATCTGTGGGTTGCAATATCAACTCTAAGTGGTACAATCTATATCTGCGTGATATACGTTCCTCCCGACCGCGTTAATGACCACAGCCTGATTGAGAAGCATGCACTTTCGCTGGATTGGATTGTCTCTCAAATGGATGCCAGGGACAGCATCGTCATCTTGGGCGATTTCAACCTTGGCACTGTATCGTGGCTTAGCGATGCTCACGGCTTCTTCTTTCCTGACAATTCCCGTTCATCGTTCAGACCGGCTTCTCTCTCCTTGCTTGACGCGTATTCAACCGCAAGGTTCAGCAAGTGAATGGCGTTCTGAATTCAAACAACCGTTTGCTCGATCTGTGCTTTGTTGGGGAGGATTTGGGACAAAGCTGCTCTGTTACCCATGCTCCGGCACCGCTCGTCAAAAACTGCAGACATCATTCACCTCTACTGTTGACGCTTGCAATCGATCCTGAGAAACGCTTCCAAGACCACGCCGAAACCGTCTTCTACAACTTTCACAAAGGAGACTTCGAGCGAATGAATAACTTTCTCGCTAATGTGGATTGGAATGCGACACTAGACTCCGGGGATGCGAATCTGGCTGCCTCGACCATGTGTGGTATCATATTCTACGCTATCAATCAGTTTGTGCCTAAAAAACTACGGTGTAAACCTGCCAAACCCGCCTGGTCGAACTCTGATCTTAAGCATCTGAAAAAGGTGAAAAGGGCTGCACTGAGGAAACACAGTAAATATCACACAGATTCTACGAAGGCTAATTACGTCCGCGCCAACAACGAGTACAGAGATCTCAATGCAAGCTTGTACAACGCACATCAGTCTCACTTGCAGAGTCGTCTCAAAGCTAATCCTAAGGAATTCTGGCGATATGTGAACGAGCAACGGAAAGAAACGGGATTGCCGTCCAATATGACTGATGGCGTTACTGATGCCAACTCCGTCGCAGATATCGCCAATATGTTTCGCACACAATTCAGCAGCGTTTTTTCAGACGAAGTTCTTGATGCCCAGGAAATTGCTGCTGCCACGAGTAATGTCCCTCGTACGTCGGGGTTTGGTTCTCCATTCACCATCCACAGCGACATGGTGATTTCAGCCGGGAAACAGATGAAAACATCAACAGGATCTGGTCCAGATGGCATTCCCTCATTAGTACTGAAACGTTGCTTAGACACTCTTTCAGAGCCGTTAGCTAAAGTCTTCAACTTGTCAATGACCTCCGGAGTTTTTCCAGAATGTTGGAAGGATTCGTTTGTTTTCCCTGTTCACAAAAAAGGATGCAAGCAGACTGTCGCCAATTACCGCGGAATAGCTGCATTGAGTGCTATCTCCAAACTATTCGAGCTAATTGTCCTGGAAAAGTTGGTTCAAGACTGCTCGTACAGTATTTCTCAGGATCAACACGGCTTCATGCCTAAGCGCTCGACGACGACTAATCTAACTGTTTTTACATCGTTCATTATTCGTGAGATTGAACGTGGCCATCAAGTTGACGCCATATACACCGACCTCTCTGCAGCTTTCGATAGAGTGAACCATGAAATTACCATCTCTAAATATGACAAAATGGGTGTTCATGGGAGTCTACTTACCTGGCTTCGCTCCTATCTGACTGGCAGATCTATGTCTGTTAAGATCGGTGACTACGCTTCTCCACCCTTCATTGTTACATCTGGTGTTCCTCAAGGCAGCCACCTGGGGCCATTGCTTTTCCTGTTGTATATGAACGACGTGAACTTGATCCTCAAATGCCTTAAACTCTCGTACGCCGACGACATGAAGCTCTACTACGTAATAAAAGGGCCTCAAGACGCTCATTTCCTCCACCAAGAACTTGTAGTCTTTGATGATTGGTGCCGGATAAACAGGATGTCTTTAAATGTGTCCAAGTGCTTGGTCATTTCCTTTGGCCGTAAACGGGCGATGCATTTCCACGATTACACCTTAAGAGGAATAAGCTTGAAACGCGAATCGACTGTCAAGGACTTGGGAGTCATGCTCGATTGCAAATTAACGTTCAAGGATCACATTGCCTAAAGCTTCATCGCAGCTAGGATTTTTATTCCGTTTCGCCAAAAGCTTCAAGGACGTGTATTGCCTGAAGACTTTATACTGTTCCCTGGTTCGACCTATACTGGAATACTCTGCCGTTGTTTGGTCGCCATTCTATCAGAATGCCATCCATAGAATTGAAGCTGTTCAGCGAAAATTTATTCGCTTTGCGTTGCGACACCTTCGTTGGCGCGACCCGCGTAACTTGGCGAGCTATGAAAGTCGCTGTAACCTCATCGATCTGGAGCTCTTGGAAGGAAGGCGTAATGTGGCGAAGGCTTGTTTCGTTGCGGATCTTCTGCAAGGGAACGTCGACTGCTCCACACTTCTCAGTCTTCTTGACATCAACACTCAACAACGGGACCTCCGGCTGCATGCGTTCTTCAACAACCGGCGTTCGAGGACCAACTATGGCGTACACGAACCAATGTTGAGTATGTGCCGCGTTTTCAATAGTTGTTATTATGTGTTCGATTTTAATGTGTCCCGCGAGAAAAATAAGCGTAGCTTTAAGAGATGTTTGCGTTAATTTTGTGTTTGAAGCAGTTTTGATGTTTAGATATAGAAAATTGTCATTAGGGTAACTATTTTATCTGTTGACAAGTAGAAATAAATAAAAAAATAAATATATAAGCAGGTTGGAGACAATTGTGAACAGTTTTAGAAGCCGACTCATCAATCTTCTATATTCCATATAGAACTCATGAAAAAAATCCCAAAAAGTCCCAGAAAATCGATTTTTGAAAAAAAAAATCGACGTTTTCTGCATTTTTAAGACATTCGGCATCAAAATTTTTTTTTTGATTTCCGAAATTTCATATATCATATTTTTGAGAGTGAAAAAGTCAAACTTTGACGTGTTTGCGCCACCCCTAAATCATGTCCGATTGAGCTCAAATTTTGCATAGGTTCATTTTTCGAGGCGATAAACATTGTTGTCAAATTTTTCCCATACATTCATTGGCAGTCTAATGAACACTAATAGTTTATGAGAATGATTACCGTGCATTAAAATACATCTGAAAAACAAATACTTTACAGAAATATTATAACTGAAGAATGTGTCGAAAAACAGTCAACATCGCAGTTTGTTTTCAGTTATTGTGATAAATCATTATTTATGCGAAGATTTTTTGCTTGTTCACCTAGTTCTGACGGTGTCTGGGCAAAAATATCGCTCCACAAACGGGAAAGTTGTCATCATGATCAGTAGATTCGAAACAGTTGTAGTACCATTTTGTATGAAATCATTCTTTATTTATTCTCCTCGGCACCTTGCATTATTTTTGACAGTGTGTATGCATTTTCCGTCATCAATAAAGAGCAAAAAGATAACGTATCAAACAAAACAGTTCCGTAGTTCACTAAATGGCAGTATAATTCAAATATTTAACCGAACCGTTTACCAATTTTGCGGTAGTTTTTTTTCTCATCCCTTGACACTAGGAAACAATCGAATTGAAATATATGGCACTATTCATAGAAGGTAAGTTAATCCTAAGCATCCACTGTAATATCCAGCAGTGTTCTTGACTTGTTTCACAATGGAATAAATTCGCTTTAGTAACTATCATTCGAATTGCAGATAACTAATGATTGAGTATCCTCGCCCCGAAGGCGAAGAAGGGAACGGAAATATTGGGGAGTTAAACAGGTTTCCTCTTTTCTTTCACCTTCCGCTGCATTCCTGTAAGAGCCGGAACCTATTGTTTTAATTTTTTATTTGTTCTATTCTTTGTTTTGCAGTTGGTTTTTGTGGCTTCCGACCACCTATTCGCAACTAATTTCTCCGTTTTTAATTCTCTATCTTGGTTGCTCAGTTACAATTTCAATATCAGTTAGTTTAGTTTTATTTGTTTTTTACTTTTCTTATGTTGTTGTTTTTTTTTCGTAGGTTGCATTTTTATTTTGTTTATGTTTTGTGCCTGAAAAGATTCTGTGCAGTAGTTTCGATCTCTTACAATTTATTTTCTTTTAATTATTTATTTTCTCACCCTTTCAATCTCATATCAACCTCTATCGCGAATCGGCTTTTGACTTTGGCGTTTCTTTTTTGTTTTGTGTTTTTTTTTTGAGGATAAGGAATTGTTTTTTGGTCTTGTCAACAATTTCACACACTTGAGTACATATTTCACTGTAACCGGTGTAAGTTATCCCATCCTTATTTTTCCGATGCATTTATTGGTAGTAGAAAAATATTTAAACTTTACTCATCTTCAAAATTTACACTATTTCAACCGTGAGCAATTTGCTTCTACCAGATCGAACGCTTTGTCGTTTTAAGTTTTTCCTTTTAATCTTATTTATGGGTAGAAATTTCTCAATTCACGACGTGCGTGTGTGTATGGGTTTGTTTGTGAGAAGGCTAGTGAACTATATCAAACTTAAAAAAGAATCCTTCAGTTTTGTTAAGCTTTTGGAATTCGTTTTCTTTAAGGACGTATGCAACCGGTTGGTCACAGTCATACACACAGTTCCGTCCATTTTGATTGCTAGGATTGGATTTAATTTCTTTGTTTTGACTAGTATTTACACGTGTTGTACAATTAATCTATTTACAGAGAAGGAGTTCATTATTTCGGAGGTTGAAATGCTAAATTGTGATGGTAGAATTTGCCGGCATTTGGTTCGGTACACGCAAATCAAATTTCTGTAACATCCAACGCAAGATGGATTTATTACATTCTCTGCAAATGTTTAGTACAACAAATATTATGGCAGATATTGCAATGAACTGCAGCGTGCAAGCAAGTATTTCCATAATGTTTATGTACAAAACCTTCACGAGATGATTTTCTAGACGGAATGGAATTGGGGAAACACACTTTGTTCGAAAAATAAGCTCACATAAAAATAAAAAAAAATATTTTAAAAACCTTCCAGTTACCACATTATAGAATCTGATCATGTTCCTAAACATGGCAAATTCATACAAATCTTACATTTCCCGGTTGGGTGTAGGATTAATATAAGCAATAGAATTTTGAAATATTATTTGTATATGAGCTGGAAAATTCAAAGTGGTTGGGAGTGGAACGCCACGTAGATGCCAAACCGAAACCAGTGAAGTGACTCCCCATCTGACTTTTTGACGAGATCGAACCGATCAAAAGATGGGCTGGGAACAACTAATTTTTTTTCTCTTTCGAAAAAAGACGTGACCAGAGGTTTTTTGCCTCTGAAAATCCCTATGACCATTGCATTGAAAAAGCAGTTCAGCTTATCACTCTTTCAGCGACCAGCGTCCAGCCAACTCGTTTTGTATGTTTGACCAGACAGCCACATTTCCCATGGGTTATCAATAAAATTGCATTATGTCAATTCCAAATATCAAATCATTCAATCTTTGGCTAAAATTTTCGGTAGATGTGAAAACAAATAGTTCATATAAAGGTTCATCATGATGTCTCTTGATTAACAAACCCTGTGAAAATCTCCCACCACAATCCAATCATTTCAACCTCAGCCTTATTCTTTCTTTTGTCTACAGGTAACATTGGAACCAATTTCATATCAGTTACTTTACGGCTCAACGGAAAATCTAAACGAGTGCACTTTTCACAGCTTCTATATCTGTGTGTTATTTGTTACGAGTGTTGTTTGTGTGTTAATGTATGTAGCTATTCAATAGTGATCTGTCTTGTCATCTTGTAAGTAACCTACCGGTAGACAAATTTAATTATTTTCTTCTTTAGTTATCATTTCCGCTAATAGTAATAGTTTGTTCTTTCAGTTAAGTAACGTGTTTGCTTTTCTTAAAAAAATATTTGGCTAGTTTTTTCCTCCTCGCAACACCTGCCCAGCCTACCTCCATGCGTTTCATGCTGAGCAGCCCCAATTTTCCCCGGTAGAGACTAATTAAAAATAGTCGTGTAATAGAAAACTTAGAGATTGAATCACAAGATTTTTGTAGAATAAAAATCTTACAAACGCTTAAAAAGATCTCCTAGAGTAATACTTGGTTTCATATAAGATTCTTCATCTGCGCGAGTTTAGTTCCACTGCGCGGGTCATTTGCTGTACAATCTGTCCGTCGTCGGTCATCGTGTTTGCTTTTAGCCTAGAAATCACTTCTCATAGGACCTACCTGAGCTGCAGCAGGGCGGAGAGCGAGGGAACGGCGTTCAGCAGTACGCCAGGTCGTCCATGTCGACGTAGACAACATGTCACACGGTCGTTTCCCGGTCGACGTGGATGTATTCGACCGGGTGAAGCGCGTGTCAGGAGTCCGGATCGAAGAATAGTGGTTCCTTCTTATAATCCTTCTTCGAGAGGGTACCGTTCAGGGAGCTGGGCGCCGTTTTCAACTTTTCATTGGACTTTCGGCGCTTTTTGACCATCGCCAGGACGCAGAAGATGAGACACGCACAGAGAGCTGCGGCTAGGCAACCAAAGGCGGCAAACATGCCACCCGGAAGCTCCATCAGTCGGCTGCCACACTCCTGTTCGCTCTCGTCAAATCCGGACGGGCAGTTGGGGTGACCTGAGGGGAAAAGAAATTAAATTTACCGTAATCTACAGGTTGAAAGACTTTATTTGAAAAATTTCCTGCACGAGTTTTTTGATAAATTAACATTATTGAGATGAACACTATTCGATCTTGAATGAACAGAAGAGCAGAAGAACCGATGAATATCAAAACAAATTTCCCATTCTCGCATTACTTTTCAAATAGACCAATCGACATTGATCGATTTTTTTCATCGACTCTCTCTTTCGTTAATAACTCGGTTCCAAAAAGTGGTTCAGCTGTTCATCATCTGGAGTTTAATCGGTCGATACTTTTGTCGTCGACCTTGGAAGTATTTCGTGATATAAGTGTATAAGTGAATACCACGAGTTGCTTTCATTTATTCAAAGAAAGCGCTATGCCCCCCTTTGGCGATATTGCCATATTTGGAAACCAGTGAGGAAGTGAATCCCGTTTTGATGGAAACGTGACCCGATTTTGTCATCCCTCATTTTATAAATCTTTTCTTGTGAAACACATCTGCTTTTTCAGTGGTCTGATTACACCAAATTATACATTGAACATTCATCTTGAAGATGAATGAGAAAGATTTGAAATTACGAAAATGAATGAAAGTTAATGAAAAATAAAAGTATGACAAACAGAAAAGTTAACAACATCGGGTCATTACTGTAATTGTATTGTATAATGAACGTCGGCTCTGTAAAGTTCTTTTTATTGAGCCTATCAAAATAAAGTAACAAACAAAAAAAGTTCAATTAACGCTAAAACATCTTACCATTACACCACAGATCGCTGGCTATACAAGCATTGATCTCGGGACACTGGTGTTCACATTCGGACTCCCTCGGGAACAGTCCAAACTCCAGCAGCGTATCGTTTCCGGTCGTGTTAGTCTGCTGCTCGAGCTGCTGAATTAAAGATGCCTTCGTGTGTTGGATCTCCATCCACGAGAAGGCGATGCTGCCGGCTTCTTTGTGGATGGGCTCCAGAACTATGCTGACAGGCCTGCTTGAATAGAGATAGAGAACATGATATTTTTGGTGAAGTTCGCAATGAGCAGAATGTGCCTTCCATTAAGCATACCTATCCGAACTCAAGAACGGCTGATTGCTCAACCAGTCCTCGGAGAAGATGTGCAGCGGTGTTGCTCTACTGGACGGAGCTGATGGGCAGATGACCTGGATAAGCTTCAGTGGTTTCCCACTGTACACCATTAGCCTGTTGCGGGTATTGCACTTGGAGAATTCATCCTGAATGGGATCCAGCGCTAGGGAACTGCCCCAGGTTTGTACGAACAAACTACGGTCTTGTTGTTGAGCCTCGATATACCATGGCAACCCGTCGCAGCTGGCTTCGTGCGATCGGAGAGGATAGCTAACTTCATCTTCCCCACCAGATCCTCTCAAGAACAACCGTTTTCGGCACTCTGGAACTCTGATAAAGTCGTAGGAAGCGTGGAAGTATACGTCGGCAAAGTCCTCTGAGATGTTCAACTTTGTCACCACGAAGGTCAATTCCAGCGTGCGAGTGTTTGAGATGAACGTCAACGGCGAGTTGTACGAACTGCTGGTGTTATCGCAGAAACATCCCAGCGGGATCTTGACATCCTTATGCGGAACGTCGAATAACCGTAGCTCACCGACACGACCATCCAGATTGGTTTCTGACGGAGCACAGCGAGCTCTACCCGTGTGACCATCCGACTCAGTAATACAGGAATCAGACTCCCCAAAAGAAACATTGTACAACTCAATACGAACCTGTAATTATAACAAATTATGATATTCCCGGAACAGTTATCACTAGCTAGCCCAAACCTACCCTCTCTCCAACGGATGCTTCAAACCGATACAGACAGGAGATATTCTTCGCACCACCCCGTCCATGGAGGAACACATTTCGTGGCGACTGAAACTCACCCTTCCTTTTGCGGAACACCCTCGAACAAAGCAGAGGAACCTCTTCGTCAGTCTGCTCCAGGTACGGTTCACCTCCCAACTCCGTATCGATGAACTCGTAATTGATTCCGAAGCTAGACGGAAACAGCGAAGTTCCCGTCATTGTGTGGAATTCAATTTTCTGCACAAAATACAACACAATCAATACTTCAACTAGCAAGACCACACCATCACAATGAACTTACCAAATCATTTCCGGTACTGACGTAGCTCTCCAGTGGAGTGCAAGGCCTCATCCGGTTACCTTTACTCTCCAGCGATACGTGATCACATAGTTTCGGCGATTCATTATCGTAAAACTCAGCCACCATTCGGCGATTGCTTCGCGAGGACTTGTCCCTTTTTCCGGAACCTCCATGTTCTTTGAACACTTCATTGTCCTTGCCATGCCGGGACCCATCTTTAGATCCTTTTCCTTTGGAAGGCTTATCCTGTTGAGCACCCCCGTAAACCAGTCCCTTCTCACTGGTCAAACCGCTTCCTCCAACACTCACACTGGAATGATGCTGCTGCGGCGAATGGTGTGGAGCCTGCGGCTGGTTGAAGATACTGTTCACCGTTGGGCCGTAGATGTACTGATCGACTGGGTTCCACACGTTGTCTATGTTAATCCGCAGACTCTTACCATGTTGATTTAGCGTTCCGTAGTACGTCCCCACAGATCGGTTCATCATTTGCTGGTACAGCGCCGTAGTGCTCGTTCCGGTAAAGACCGGTGTCGTAACGCCCGCTGCGTTTGGGCTACTACCGAAGGCTACCGAGGACGAGGAAGACGGAGATGTTTGCGCCGAAGTGGTTGAAGACGTTGTGATGGAAGATGGAGAGGTGGTTTTAATCGGGACGTACGTACCGCTGCTGTCCCAGATACGGAGACGGTTGATCCACGGAATTGGTGCGTCATTCTGTGGATGGTGTATTGGGAGGAAGGTTTTCAAGGTAATTTAGTGACAATAAGGGTGGTTATTGCATTATGGTTGTCGAAATATCCGTAGCAATCCTATGGCATATGTTTGTATTCTAATATTCATTGATTTTGTTGGGTCTAATTTGGTGGAACAGAATCTCAAGTCGCATATCCATGGGACTTGAAATCTAGAGGATTGTGAAGGTATGACTAGTTGAACTCAGAGAAACATCGAGAGCATCTCAAGTCAAACACTCAGAAACTAGAGGTTTTACAGAATTCTGGTCAATTAATGTCATCCGAATGACTCCTGCAATGATAACGTGCTAAAACGCGAAACCTACCTTTCCAATTGTAGAATTATCGCTGCTCGAGCTCGGCTGTAGTATCTGCAGGTGATAGCTGGTAAAAGAGATCCACACCAGATCCGTTAGAACACCGTGGAAGTAGTAGGTGCAGGTCGTGTTGGGTGGCAGTGTGTGGCGAGGGCTCAACAAGTGTCCCATTCTACCGCGTCGAGAGTATAGCACCTCATCTGGAATTTGAAAAAAAAAATCGAAAAAAGGACCAGTGTAGTGGTTGTTGGAATAGTTTCCGGGATAATAATCACGTTGCGTGTTTCTTTTCTTTGTTTGACACATAGACCTGTCAATTTTGCTTTCTATAAGTCACAATCAGCGATTTTCTGATCGCTGAGTGAGTGAATAATCACTCATTGTGACCCTCATGAAGCGACAGGTTTAATGCGACATTTTTTATTTGAAACTTGTCATGAAAGTTATATTCTAGAGAATTTTAAAACTCCTTGAGACGGATGTTTTATAGCTGAATGTGTTGCCTGTATCTCTTCTAATTAAAAAAATATACCCAATTATAGTAAAAAATATGAATAAATTCAAATTGATTTTATACGAGTTTAAAAAATAACATACCTCCAATTTTTTCATATTATTGAGAATAACATACGCCCTTTCAAATGCCGTAAAAAAACTCTTTATTTGTTTGCCCCAACCAGAGCTATTAACATTTGAAAAGTGCATATTTTAAGTATAAAAACGTCAATAACTCTTGATCGACGAAAGATATTGACAAGCTTTATGCAGCAAAAATTTGCGCCTTCTTTGTCTTCTTTGCTGATAAATTCGAAATAAGAAAACTAGAGCACAACAACTGTTTTTTTTTTAAGAACCACCCTAACTTAATTCAAGAAAATAGCTCTAAATCAGCCAATTTAAGAGATGCAAAAAAATTATTTCCAACAAAGTTGCTTGAAATTAGCTCAGCTATAACTTTGCCGAAGAATGTATACCTTAATTTGTTCAAACAAAAAAGTTTGATTTTTGATTTTAATGATAATAGGAACCACCCTAGAATTCATTGTCATAAAAATGAGGGCCTAACTATAAGGAAAAACTTTGTAGAAGAAACTTTCAGTATAAAGTTTCAATTTCAGGCTAAAAACATATCATTCCACCTAAATCTGCATTCTAGACCACTGTGCAATGGTGACGCAGGACTACGTGCTCTTATATAATAAATCTTATTTGTTAATTGCAGCAGGAGCTTGTGTTTTAGTTAAGATAGGAATTTGAACGGGGCTCTCTCTGTTTATACTCTTTAGTATGACGCGCTTGATATAGATGGCCCACAGCGACTCACGAAGAGCTTTTGATTCCGATCAATAGCGGTGCGGCTTCTTCCTCTTTCTATGGATGCTCATATGGGCTGCAGCTCGCTGCTTGCAGGCAGCCTTTCGTTGTGTACTGGAGAACAATGTTGAACGCCAAGTGCCGAAACAATGCTGCTGCTGCTGATATGCCGACGACCGGACACCACCACACACGGTGATTGGAACTGAATCCGATCAGCGGTTTAGGGTAGCAAGGATAACTAGCTGCTGCGGGGAGCCTTTCGTTGTCTACTGGAGAACACCACCATTCACCACACGGGGTGATTGAATAAACACCGTTTGGTGAGACCGGGGGAATTCAACTTTGAAATCTTGTTAGGGAAATTACTTTTCGTAGGCAATTGGTGATAATTTTTATGATCATAGCAACAGTGGCACATTCGTGCAATTTTCAATAGTAACATTTTGAAAAATGATAAAGTCTTAATTTTAGCAGATGCGTAGAAATATTTCTGATCGATTGGCGATAAAGTTATTGAAATTGGTTCAGGGGCAGCTGAGTTATTAATGTTCAAAATCTTTCATAATTTTGTTACATGTTCCATTTTCATTTTTCACAAAGTGTATTCCCATACAGAAATTACATACGTAGTCCTACGTCAAAACAAAATCAACAGCGTTACGAAAAGTGTACTATGGCCAACTTGACAGCGATCTGTGTTCAAGCTGATGACACCGAGCCAAAGTGCATGAATTGCGGTGGTACTCACCGTGCCACTACTCGGGACTGCCCCAAGCGAACAGAATTCATCAACATCAGGAAGAAGGTGGCAACTAGCAACCTGCCAGGCCGTCATCGAAACCAACGCACACCACCAGCCATCATGGATGAACAATACCCGGCAATCCAGCCTCGTCGCCTTGTCCCAAATCTTCCACCGCTAACCATCAACAATCAACGAGCCGCTCCCTCAGCTCAGCATCGCCTCACTGCCGCAGCGGCTCTGCTCATGTTTCTGCCTATCGTATGCCCGTGTTGCCTCAAGCGATTTAGTTGACGAATCAACTTTCGCATCGGAAGAACTAGTAACGCTGGTTGCAGAGATGATCGTCATCCTGCGAACCTGCAAGACTCGATCTGAACTACTTTCTACCAGAGCTGTGGCACCACCAACGAGCTGGGAACCAACTTTGTAGTGCTGGGTAAAATGCACCAACGCCTGATTGGTTGGCAGCCGATCAAAGCGAGGATGTGCAAGTTGAGGATTAAGGGCCGTTTCTTCAACTACAGTATCATCAACGTGCACTGCCCAAACGAAGGGAGACCCGACGACGAGAAAGAAGCGTTCTATGCGCAGCTGGAGCAGGTGTACGACGGCTGTTCGCAACGGGACGTCAAAATCGTTATTGGCGACATGAACCCTACCTGAGCGGGAGGCAATGTATAGACCGGCAATCGGGCCAAACAGCCTGCATGCCGTATCGAACGACAACGGCCAACGATGCGTGAACTTTGCAGCCTCTCGGGGTATGGTAGTTCGAAGTACCTTTTTCCCCCGCAAGGATATCCACAAAGCCACCCGGAGATCACCTGACCAACACACAGAAAACCAAATCGATCACGTTCTAATCGACGGGAAATTCTTCTCCGACATTATCAACGTCCGCACGTACCGCAGTGCGAACATAGATTCGGACCTTCTACCTAGTTGCAGTATACATGCGCTCAAAACTCTCGACGGTGCATAACACACGTCGAAGTCGAACGCCGCGACCCAACATTGAGCAACTACGGGACGCCGGAGTTGCCCAGGACTACGCGCAGCAGCTGGAAGTTGCACTACCCACGGAAGAGCAGCTTGGCGCAGCTTCTTTTGAAGATGGCTGGAGGGACATCCGTTCAGCCATAGGTAGTACTGCTGCAGCGGCACTAGGTATTGCGATCCCGGACCGAAGAAATGACTGGTTTGACGACGAATGCAAACTGTTAGTAGAGGAGAAGAATGCAGCACGGGCGAGAATGCTGCAACACCACACGAGATTGAATGTGGAGCGATACAGACAAGCGCGGAACAGACAAAACTCGGTTTTCCGAAGGAAGAAGCGTCAGCCGGAAGACTGAGATCGCGAGGTGATGGAAAATCTGTACCGCGTAAACGACACACGGAAGTTCTACGAGAAGCTAAATAGTTCGCGCAAAAGCTTCGTGCCGCAAGCCGATATGTGCAAGGACTTGGACGGTAACCTTCTCACGAACGAGTGTGAGGTGATTGAGAGGTGGAAGCAGTACTATGACGAGCACCTCAACGGTTAAGCAGCAGAAAACGAAGGTGGCACGGCAACAGACCTTGGAGCACGCGCAGAAGACGACAGGCTACCGGCCCCTGATCTTCAAGAAGTTGAAGAGGAGATCGGTCGGCTGAAGAACAACAAAGGAACTGGTGTAGATCAACTACCAAGTGAGCTATTAAAATACGGTGGTGAAGCACTGGCTAGAGCGCTGCACTAGGTAATTGTCAAGATTTGGGAGGAGGAGATATTACCGGAGGAGTGGATGGAAGGTGTCGTATGCCCAATCTACAAAAAGGACGACAAGTTGGATTGCTGCAACTATCGCGCGATCACACTGCTGAGCGCCGCCTACAAGGTACTCTCCCAAATTCTATGCCGCCGTCTGTCACCATATGCAAGAGAGTTCGTGGGGCAATACCAGGTGGGATTCATGGGTGCCCGCGCTACCACGGACCAAATTTTCGCGATTCGGCAGGTTCTGCAGAAATGCTGCGAATACAACGTGCCCACACATCATTTGTTCATCGATTTCAAATCCGCATACGACACAATCGATCGAGATCTGCTATGGCAGATTATGCACGAGTACGGACTTCCGGATAAACTGACGCGATTGGTCAAGGCGACGATGGATCGAGTGATGTGCGTTGTTCGAGTATCGGGGACACTCTCGAGTCCCTTTGAATCTCGAAGGGGGTTACGGCAGGGTGATGGACTTTCGTGTCTGCTGTTCAACATTGCGTTAGAAGGTGTGATCAGAAGAGCTGGGATAGACACGAGTGGCACGATATTCAGGAAGTTCATCCAGCTCCTTGGCTTCGCCGATGACATTGACATTATGGCACGGAACTTTGAGATGATGGCGGAAACGTACATCAGACTGGAGGCTGAAGCTAGACGGATTGGACTTGCCATTAACGCATCAAAGACAAAATACATGAAAGGAAGAGGTTCTAGGGAAGACAATGTTAGCCTCCCACCCAGATTGACGGTGACGAAATCGAGGTGGTCGATGAGTTCGTGTATTTGGGCTCACTGGTGACCGCCCAAAATGATACCAGCAGAGAAATTCAAAGACGCATTATGGCAGGGAATCGTGCCTACTTTGGACTCCGGAGGACGCTCCAGTCGAATAAAATTCTCCACCGCACGAAGTTGACTGTCTACAAGACGCTGATTAGACCGGTGGTTCTCTACGGCCACGAGACCTGGACTATGCTCGTGGAGGACCAACGCGCCCTTGGTGTTTTCGAACGGAAGGTGTTGCGTACCATCTACGGTGGAGTGCAGATGGATGACGGAACGTGGAGACGGCGAATGAACCACGAATTGCACCAGCTGCTGGGAGAACCATCCATCGTCCACATTGCAAAAATTGGGCGACTACGGTGGGCTGGGCACGTCATAAGAATGTCGCACGACGACCCAGTGAAAATGGTTCTAGAAAGCGACCCAACAGGAACAAGAAGAAGAGGCGCGCAGCGGGCAAGGTGGATCGACCAAGTAGAAGGTGACCTGCGGACCCTTCGCAGACTACGAGGCTGGCGAACTGTGGCCATGGATCGAGTAGAGTGGAGACGACTTCTTCGGACAGCAGAGGACAACAAGGCCTTAGCCTGATTGTTAAGTAAGTTGCTCGCTGACGAATAAGCATAGAGAGCTACTCAATTTCCTCAACACCAAGGAGCTCGACATTGCTATTATCACCGAGACGCACTTGAAGCTCGAACTGAACGTATTCCTTCCCGACTTCCCGCTCGTCAGACTTGACCGCACCTGCTCTGGGGGTGGGGTAGTGGCATGAGCTATCTCCCAAATTGTGCAAAGCCCTTCTGGAAGCTAACCAAAATCCTTAAAAATATGCCAAGACCCATTCCCCCATTTGTACCGTTGAATCAACACAATGATTCAGTTGCTCATCTGATAACCCCTGAAGAGAAGGTTGATGCTATAGGTCAACATTTCGTCAGCTCGCATAATCTCGGACTGAACATGCCTAGTTCATACGATACTGCAATTGCAGTAAATTCAACCAACCTCCATCGAATTCCTAACATCTTTCCTGTGGAATCTGTGATTACGGCTGACGAACTGTTGGCCTATACCAAATCATTTAAAAATATGAAGGCCCCAGGTTTCGACCAAATTCTGAATCTGGAACTCAAACACCTGAGTTCCAGATTCTTCAACCATCTGGCACTGATTTTTAATCAGTGCCTAAGACTTGGCTACTTCCCCTCGTGCTGGAAGTCAGCTGGGAAAGATCCATCCTCTCCTTCAAATTACCGACCCATCAGCCTTCTCTCAGGGTTATCCAAGCTGTTCGAAAGAGTAGTCTACCGTCAACTCTTGGCATCTGCCGAGGAAAACAACATATTACTCGAGGAGCAGTTTGGCTTCCGTAACGGTCGCTCGACTGTTCACCAGCTCACTCGAGTAACAAACATTCTCAGACGGAACAAGTCTGTATCCAAAACATCTGCCATGGCATTTTTGGACGTTGAAAAAGCGTTCGACAAAGTTTGGCATGATGGCCTTGTCTACAAATGGTAGCGATACGGTCTTCCAATCTTCCTAGTGAAGATAATTATAAATTACCTCACGGACAGGACATTTAAAGTCTCTCATCGGATGCTTTCCATATCGGTGCGGGTGTCCCACAGGGAAGCACCCTTGGCCCCATCTTGTTCAACCTGTTCACCTCCGATATGCCGGCTCTTCCTGATGGTGGATTGTTGTCACTGTTCGCAGATGACACATCCATAATATTTAAGGGTAAGGTCATCGGAGCTCTGACCGCCAAACTTCAGAGAGGCCTAAATGTCCTGTCAGAATACTTCAACAGCTGGAAGATCCGTATCAACGCGGCAAAGACGCAGGTCATCATCTTTCCTCATTCCAAATCACCCAGACTTGTTCCGTCTGAGAATAATAACATCAACTTGAACGGCACAGTGGTGGAATGATCAAAAGAGGTAGTATACCTCGGCTATACACTCGACAGCAAGCTGCTTTTCAGGGAACACATTGACAAAACAAAAACCAAATGTAACATCCTGATGAAATCCATATATCCACCCATCAACAGGCGATCCACTCGGTCCCTGAGAAACAAGCTTGCTGTCTATAAGCAAATAATCTTTCCTGTAATAGAATACGGGGTGCCAATATAGGAGAGTAGTGCTAATTCCCATCACCTCAAATTAAAAAGGATCCAAAAAAAGCTTTGAGAATGATCCTCAACAGTCCTTCACGAATGATGAACTCTGAGGTCCATCGCCCATCGGTCCATGGCTGGGGCCTCATAGCCTAGTCAGTAAAGGCACGGTATTACCAAGCCGGAGGCGGCGGGTTCGATTCCCGGTCCGGTCGAGGGAATCTTTCGGGTTGGAAATTTTCTCGACTTGCCACACAATATACAAATTCATGCATTGGTATTGGCATCGAAAGCTCTCAATTAATAACTGTGGAAGTGCATTTAGAACACTAAGTTGAGAGCACGCAATAAGCTAATATGCGCTAAGCAATAAGGTTGAAATGCGAATAAGAAGAAGAAGAGGTCCATCGCCTGGCTGGTCTTACGACGCTGGAGTTACGGAGAACAGCTACCACCCAACGGTTCAGAGATTTCTGTAGGCAATCCGATCAGCTGATCATTAGGAATCTGGTTAAGCTTAAGCTAGCACCTACACTGGATTAATAACAGGACATTGTCCTAGTAAATATCATTTTAAAAAAATTGGAAAGCTTAGCGACGATAGATGTCGCTTTTGTTATTTGGAGAGCGAAAGCTCTGAACATTTATTGTGTGATTGCACTGCTTTATTTAATAAACGATGCAGATTTCTTGATAAAGGACTCACCGTACCTGAAGAAATTTGGACCAGTATACCCAATAAAGTTGTAAACTTCATTCGAAGTGCAATTCCATATTGGGATAATGCCGATGATCAATGATGAAGATCACTCTACATAGTGGTTGATCATCAAAACACACGGCAAATAGTAAAAAGAGGATACACCACAATAGATCAAAACACATGTAACGAATTTTGGAGGAGACAGACGTTAAGAAGGAACAGCAGCAACAATAGCAGCAGGATTTGAGTACTTCGGGACGAACACTGAAACAGTTGCCTTATGGTGTGGGACGCCCATAGGAACAATAAATAACTCTGTCACGAGGCGGGACACCCGGTGAAGAGTGGTGGTGATTCGAGACGGTCACTAAGCCTTGTTTACCTACTAGTATAAAACGTTCATTGAAGGAACTACTCCTTCACTGACGGTACGCTCAGTAAGAGTACGTTAGTGGCAAGAGATAGCCGTTGAACCGTCAAAAAAAAAGTAGAACTAAAGCGCAAATTACTTGTTTACTGAAGTTTCTCCCATAGATGGGATACTTGGCAACATACACAATGGTATGTGGTAACCTCAGCAAGTCCTCGCAAGTTTTTCTTAATGAGCGAATGTACGTTTCAATTTTGATTATCCCTATCTGACGCAACGCTATGTGAAATCGGAGATTCACCCGTAAAGGTACAGGAGGGTTGCATCCAGGATGAATATGTATCAGTACGTGACACTCTGAAGATGTGCTCGATAGAAGGAGAGTGGTGACTATGATCGAAGCAAAAGATCTCCTGGATATGAGTTGGAGTGGTTTAAATAAGGAGTGACACTGATGGTTTAACTCAAAAGGTGCCACTACAATGACGCTCTGATGACTGTCACAAGACGGCATTCGCGAACACAATTCTTGTAGAGTCGTACTAGTAGTTCACGGATAGAGACCGTTGGAAGATTCCTTTCTCAAATCATTGACGAATCTTAGGAATACAGTTTGCAGACTAACAATATTTTAATTGATTTCACGTACCATTTAGTGAAGTGACTTGACCTTTGGCATATTGAGCTAGGACATAGTTTTCTGCTTATATTGAGTCATACAGTGCTTGATGGATCGAAGTCATATGTATGGGTTATATATGAGATTTTGAGCTCATTCAGTACTTAAGATGGGTTGAATCAGGATGATGCACTATAAAAATTATTATACAACATTGCTATTGAAGGATCGATTAAGAAAACTGGTTTGCAGATGAACGGTACCATCATCACACACACGCACATGCCCCTTCAAACAGTGGAAGTGGCGTTCACTCACGAAATTCATACCGATTTCTTCTGGCTAAAAAGCATAAGTCAATCTTATGAATATCGTTAGTTTATGTCGCTGGGTGCAGTAGAAGAACTAGTGTACAGATTGTACAAACAACCTCGTATACGACTACAAATCATAGCGATATTTCTCGCTGGTGTAACTGATCTTCCTATATCACTAATGTAAAATTGGACGTTGGAAGTCACTAGTCTGACTAATTCACTTCAGTTTGGTACAGGTGCCACAATTTTCTGAAACACAGCGAAATGCTATGTTAATCGCGAGGGCAATGTATTACAAACCTCGTTGTAACGTGTTCTCATTCTCTCGCTCACTTATTACACAGCACTTTTGTTTCACTAATATCGGTCACTCGCGGCGTGGGTCTTTTCGATTATTTGCACTTCGAGGTGGTGATTGAAATTTGAATCGCTGACTTCGCGGTGCACTATCGGAAATGCAACGTAAAAATGACCGAACTCGACGATAACTTGATTTGATATCATGGAAAAGAGTATGAGAACAATTCTATTACTATCATATACGCAATTTTATGTCAGATTTATGTCGATCTAAAACGTAGTGCAATACAAAAATCTCTATTCTAAAATTTTTTATGCATCATAAATACAGATAGCATCTCAGATTTTTGGTTGAAAACCGAAGATGAAAAGATTTTTATTTTAGCAAAAACACATTTCATTTTGGCGACGATTGTCCTTGTCGTTGGCGACGAAACAAACATTACACTTGAAAACGATTTTTACGCCACACGCCGTGTGCGTGTTCTTAATTTCAGCAAATTCAATGAACATCACTGACTGTACTGCATTGTCAGTTATAAATGACTTGATCATTTTCATCTCTGTCTGCAAATACTTACGGCGAAAAGTCTTACCTGGATTGGACGCATTGATGTGAAACTCGCACTTGTTTCCCTGGGCAAAGTCGTAGGAGTCCGAATCGGCAAACAGAATGTCCACATCCAGCTCGAAGCCCCGATTGGACTGGCCGGACTGCAGCGGGGCCGAAAACGGACTCGAATGGAACGCAATCAGCATCTCCGGACCCCTGAAATTGAGTGAGAGAGAAATGGAAGGGGAATAAGCGATTTTAAGAATCTTGTTTTGCGTGTTTTACTGATCCAACAAAAAAAAAATCAAGACATACACGATACTTTTCGCAAGTATGTATCCAAAAATGAGAGCCAACCTCGTTGAATTCATACACGAGCAGCACAACTTCGAATCAACTTGACTCCAGAGCTTCCTGCATTCCCCGGGCTGTTGGTCGTGTACTTTTTCGGTTTTGTTTCTGTTTCTGTTTTCTAGGTTATGTATTTTGAAAAGAATAAGAAAAAACACATCGGATTCAACAGCAACTTTCCATGTTCCCAAACCGGAAAACCTCGTCCATGTATTTTTTCGGGTTTTCTATCGTTGAACTTCAAACAGGATGATAAATACTCTCCAAGGTAACTTTTTTTTTTACCTTTCTCAAGAACGGCTTCAAATGCCCTACCAACTGCTGCACGAACATGTGCGAACAAAACAAAAATGGCATCGTCCGTTTCCGTTCGTTCTTCGATTCATTCGTGAAAAAAACATGATTTCATGCTTAAATGACTCTCGACTGTTTCAGTGTGGACGTATTTAGGTTGGTTCAGTTAACAATAACCTGAATTTTTGGTGAGATTTAATCCATTCATAACTATTCATAATTTTGGAAAATTAGCTCAAACGGCTCATTTCTGATGATGTAAATTGAGAGTTATCTAAAATTTATGAACCGGTCTATAATTACGAACAAACAAACAAACATTGCAAACGATTCGAGCTTCATCAGCATCCCTTTTCCCCCATTTCTAGGACCGTATTCAACGGGCAACAAAACAGAAACAATCGCAATTGGAATCGTTCATGTAAAACTGAGTTGTTATTTTGTGAACTTTTACCATTCACCGCCACCGGGCAGCATCCCGCGCAGTTGTTTTCGGTCTCTCACTCTATTTGCCGTAAACTTTGCTAGGCTATGCTTCCGCTGCATTTCCTGGTTCCTGGTCCCAGGTCCGGAAAAACGATTCCATATTTTGCCAGTACACATGAAACAGTGAAACACCAAAAAAGCATCGTTGAACGTCATGAAAATTCCAACGTCAGCCAACGCAAACGATGATGGCTTCGCGGTTGGTGTGAAAGTTGGTTGGACTCTTCTATGGTTTTGTTTAAATATTCCGAAAACTGTTGTCGCTTTGCAGAACAATTGCGCACCGTTGTTGTTGGCTTGAAGCTTTGTCCGTAAATGGTTTTTGGGTGGAAAATCGAATCAGACAAATGCTCCGCAACAGTCGGCATTCAAAAGCCTGCACCATTGGCGGATTGTGGTTGAATTGTGTGTGTGTGTATTAGGGAGCTTCATTTTGAAAAAAAGTGTTAAATTTCTTATAAACCACCCTCCATTTTGGGTAACGAACCCTCGACGTGCTACAAGGAATCAGCTAACGACGTGACCGAATCAACTCAGTAATGTAAAGGGGCTTGGGTTCTAACCCACGGTCTTCTCCTCAGTAAGCAAAAACGGCCGCTCTTAGGCTATCGTGCCCCTGAAAGAACAATAAGCTACGACCGACTATCTTCTAAGAAGTTTATTGAATTCCGATTATCCAATGATAGTTGGAGCATAGACGATGAAAAACGGAAGGCCATTGAAAGTTTTCGTAGACCGGAATCTATACCGGAAGTAAAAAGCTTCCTAGGTCTGATTAACTTCACGGAGCGATTCATTGTGAACAGAGCGGAGAAGACCGAAAAACTAAGATCACTTCCAAAATCTAAGGTGTTCTATTGAACGCAAGAGGAAGAAGAAGAGTTTGCGTATCTAAAGACAGAAGCGTTGACATCAGTCGTTAAGCTGGGATATTTTGACCATCGAGAAGAAACAGAGCTTTATGTAGATGCATCATCGGTTGGCATAGGTGCGGTTCTTGTCCAATTCAGTCGCTCAGGAGATCCACGTATAATAGCGTGCGCATCCAAAGCTCTTACTGTAGCTGAGCAAAGGTATCCACAGACCCAGAGGGAAGCTCTTGCAATCGTATGGGGAGTGGAACGCTTTATGTACTACCTCACCAGCAAACAGTTCACAATAAGAACTGATTCGGAGGCCAACGAGTTTATCTTCGGTGGACAGCACAGAATAAGTAGAACAGCAATTACACGTGCCGAGGCTTGGGCACTACCCAACAAACAATCGTCTATTGAAGAAACGACTTCTTGGCCATTTCATTCAACTGCATGCTTAATAGTACTTGTACTATTTTTAATAATAACTTCTGTTCAGGCTTTGTTCACACAAATCTGGAGAATTTATTCAACCTCAACATTGAACTACTGGTGTTGTATAAGATATGTCGAAAAGCTTTTATTCGACTTATATGAGTTTTTTTTTTTTTTTTTTTTTTTTTTTAACTCTTTATTTGTTCCAAATTCAAAATAAATTACATTTCATTTTTAACCTAGGTGCTCCAGTTACTACAGTAACTTACCAGCCTTAATTGTTATGATATATATCTAAGTGTTTTTACATTGTTCCTGTCTTGGCAATTCAGTATTTTAAACAGGTTTTTTTAAACCTGCATGTCAGTATAACAATTGATAGCTTAAAACTAAATAACTAAAACTAAATCTTATCTAAGTATAAAGGGAATTAATCGTTGCAATTGAGGATTGTAACGATTTTTGCCGGAAATTATTAATTATTTTGTTGGACATTTGTGCTAAAGTCTCAACATTCGAAATTCTATGTACTTCGGTAGTACTGAACCAGGGAGGCAACTTCAAAATCATCTTCAGAATTTTGTTCTGAATCCTTTGAAGTGCTTTTTTCCTGGTAGTGCAGCAACTAGACCATATTGGTACAGCGTAAAGCATGGCCGGTCTAAAAACTTGTTTAAATATTAGAAGTTTATTCGTCAGGCAAAGTTTGGATTTCCTGTTAATAAGAGGATACAAACATTTTATATATTTGTTACATTTGGCTTGAATGCCCTCAATGTGATCTTTAAAAGTTAATTTATGGTCAAGTATTAATCCAAGATATTTCACTTGGTTTGACCAGGAAATTGGAACTCCGTTCATAGTGACTATGTGACTACTACTAGGTTTCAAAAAGGAAGCTCTAGGCTTGTGTGGAAATATTATAAGTTGAGTTTTGGAAGCGTTGGGAGAAATCTTCCATTTTTGTAAATAAGAAGAGAAAATATCTAAACTTTTCTGAAGTCTGCTGCAAATAACACGAAGACTTCTTCCTTTAGCGGAAATGCCTGTGTCATCAGCGAACAAAGATTTGTGGCAACCCTGAGGCAAATCAGGGAGGTCCGAAGTGAAAATGTTATACAATATAGGCCCAAGAATGCTACCCTGAGGAACTCCTGCTCTAACAGGTAGTCGATTAGATTTGGAATTTTGATAATTTACCTGCAGAGTTCTGTCAGTTAAATAATTTTGAACTAATTTCATAATGTAAAGTGGAAAATTAAACTTTTTCAATTAAGCAATCAAACCTTCATGCCAAACACTGTCGAATGCTTTTTCTATGTCTAGAAGAGCAACTCCAGTTGAGTGGCCTTCAGATTTGTTTGAACGAATTAAATTGGTAACTCTCAAGAGTTGATGAGTAGTTGAATGCCCATGGCGAAATCCAAACTGCTCATCTGCAAAAATTGAGTTCGTATTGATGTGAAGCATCATTCTATTCAAAATTATTTTTTCAAAAAGTTTACTTATTGAAGAAAGCAAACTTATTGGACGGTAGCTAGAAGCTTCAGCTGGATTTTTATCCGGCTTCAAAATTGGAACAACTTTTGCATTTTTCCATTTATCAGGAAAGTATGCCAAATGGAAACATCTGTTAAATAATTTTACCAGGAAAGACAAGGTACTCTCTGGGAGTTTTTTGATGAGGATATAGAAAATTCCATCATCACCTGGAGCTTTCATATTTTGAAATTTTTTAGTTATAGACCTTACTTCGTCCAAATCAGTCCCCCAGGAATCATCAAAAATATTTTCCCGAGAGAAAATATTCAGAAAATCCCGAGCAACCTGATTCTCAATAGGACTAGTAAGACCCAAACTGAAATTATGGGAACTCTCGAATTGCTTAGCAAGTTTCTGAGCTTTTTCCAAATTTGTGATCAAAATTTTACCACCTTCTTTAAGCGCTGGAATTGGCTTTTGAGGTTTTTTCAAAATTTTTGTGAGTTTCCAAAAGGGTTTGGAACTCGGGTCTAATTTAGAAACATTATTTTCAAAAGTTTTGTTCCTCAGGGCAGAGAATCGCTTTTTAATTTGTTTTTGCAAATCGCGCCAGATAACTTTCATGGCAGGATCGCGTGTTCTTTGAAATTGTCTCCTACGGACATTTTTAAGACGGATCAAGAGCTGAAGATCATCGTCTATTATAATTGAATCGAATTTAACCTCGCATTTTGGTACTGAGGCAGCTCTTGCTTCAACTATAGAAGTAGTCAGAGATTCAAGAGCATAATTAATTTCATCTTTGGTTTGCAAAGGAATGTTTGGATCGAAGTTATATTCCATAAATGTTCGATATTGCTCCCAATCAGCCCTATGGTAATTGAAAGTAAAGCTGTTGGGATTAGAAATTATTTCTTGGGATATTTCAAAAGTTACTGGAAGGTGATCAGAACCGAAGTCAGCATGGGTAACCAATTGGCTACAAAGATGACATGAATCAGTTAAGACCAAATCAATAGTTGAGGGATTTCTTGCAGAAGAAAAGCATGTTGGGCTGTTTGGATATTGAATAGTGTAATAACCTGCAGAACAATCATCAAACAGAATATTACCATTGGAATTGCTTTGAGCATTATTCCATGAGCGGTGTTTTGCATTAAAATCACCAATAATGAAGAATTTAGACCTATGACGGGTAAGTTTCTGGAGGTCACCCTTGAGAAAATTCTTTTGCTGGCCTACGCATTGGAATGGCAAATAGGCAGCTATAAACGTAAGTTGTCCAAATTTTGTTTCAACAGAAACTCCCAAACT